CTTTGACTTTGTATAATATTTTGTTGGTAGGAGTCTAGTCGGACTTGGCCCCAATAAGTTAGGTTAGGTGATTTTCTCTTTTGCTTACAATCTTGGAGAAACTAAAAATTTAGGATATATGCACACCATACACACACAATTATTAGCTTCTAGAGTTACAAGGGAATCTGCTTTGGGATTTATTCTCTCGTTTTCAGCTTATATATTCAGTTCAGCTATGTGATCGCACGACTAATCTTCAGCTATATATTTTAATGTTCTTCTCCCTCAGCATTATTTTTACGTATAATTGGTGGTGTCTCATGATTTTTTGTTTATTTTTTTTCATTTACTATAAGAAAAACAAAAAATAAAAGTCAGATCATAAGGAGTACGTATAAATGGACCGTTTCCAACCTCCACTTCATGAATATTCTGATTATAATAAAAAAAAAGAAAAGGAAAAATAGTTCCAATTCATAGAATTAAGATAACACAAGCTTTTCAAACAGACAAATAAATCAACACATTCAATTTATTCTACACACGAGTTTATTATTCTACACCCGAGTTCAAATCCCCCTCTCCATAGTCTAAATTAAGCTTTTCAAATAGACAGATGGATGGACAAATTCAGTTTAGCAAACATGTGCTTAATTAGTTAATACTCAAGCAAATATGTGCTTAACCAAGTTGGTAAGTTGGTTAGAGCGGATGTATTCATTATTCTACACTTGAGTTTGAATCCCCCTTCCATAGTCTAGATTGGATTAAAATATAATATCGTTTTTATCCCAAAAAAAATTAGTTAGTACTCAATCAAGGTTTAGTACTAATTTTCATCAAAAAGGTTTAGTACTAATTAATACTTTGCTTTCTTCTGGATTTTTGTCTTTTAGTTTGTTGGTTGTCATTCTTTATTTTATGTTGACTTTGCCTCTTTCTTGACTGTTCAATATGAGTGCTTTGCTTTTAAGCCTTTCAGTTTCAGACACAAAAAGAAAAAGAGAAAAAAAAGGGTTGGTGTCTAGGAATTTTCCAAAGAAATAAATGGCTACAACTACAAGTAGAGAAGAGCTAGAGGTAAACTCCAATCATGTCCGTTTGCTTTTTTCTTTTTCTCTTTGTTTGGTAAACTCCAACTATTGCCAATCATCGTTGGTTTTGGTTATCATCAAGAATCAAGATCAACTCCATCCATGTCTATTTTAAGCTGCAAAATTTTGGCTGACTAAGTTGCCAATATTTAATAAGCTCATTTATTCATGGAGGTTAGTTGATGATAAGAGCCTTCGTGAATAAGTCAACAATACTGGGTCCAAAAACAGCTTTAATACTTTGTTATCGGAACTTAATTCTTAGGCCTTGTCTAGGAGACTGGGAGGGTCCAATAAGCAATTGCCAATTGCCAATTTGCCATACAATACAAGGCTTTTGGCATTGGAGGCCCTTGTCTATGCCAAACTTTGATGTTCAATACGAATCCACTACATCTCAAATTCAGTCACCTGGTGAAAAAGTTAAACAATCAATTTGCTAATAGGTAAGTGTCACATGGGTTTAACAATGAAATGATACCTACCCTACATTTTCTCTTGCACAATGATTATATAGTACTCGATATCAATCTACAATACTTGGTGCATTTTTTTTATACCAATCTACAATATCTGACATATTATTGATACCAATTTACAGTATCTGGTACATTATCAATCTACAATATCTAATACATTGTCGATACCAAATTACTGTACCTAGATATTACTAAAGATCGACCATGCATGTAATACATCAACAAAATATTAGCTATATATTACGACACTTCCCTTTTAATTTGTCATGAAGTGTTGTTGAGCTATACTATGCTCAACTTTGAAAGGGGATTATAGGGAACCGAAGGTTTGAATGGACAGAGCCTTACTGCAAACAGTGCAAAGTTACGTCGATAAATGAAAAGCGTTAATAAAGTCGAGGATAAGTTAATGGTTTGGTGCCAAAATATCCACAGATTAAAAAAAACAAAATTATCAAAAATATTTCGGCGATGATTTATTTCAAGACATTGCTCTTAAGGTGAGTTGCTCAAGTTTTCAAGATTATCATCTGTCCGACTAAATCATGTGAATCCCATAATTGTAGCAAGCAATCATGTTCATTTCGTGATCTCGTCAGCCTCCATTGCCACCACCTTTTTACACTCTCTTTTCGTTTTTCAAGTTTTTTCGCACTTTTGGGCTATAGAAGTAGTCAATTCTCCTTTATTTTTCAATCTTGGAAGTTGGGTGCACCAATACCATTTTTGAAAGTTTGTCAAATCATCCTTATTGAGTATTTTAGCTTACCACTTTAAATAAGGTGTACTCTCATCATCATTCTTAATATTTGACACGTGTATATTGATATAACTATGGTTCCATAAATACAAAGCAAAAAGTTAATTATAGTTATACCAATAAACACATATCTAGTGTTAAGAATGATAGTGAGAGTACACATTTGGTTAAAGTAATGAGTAAAAATATAAAGGATACCATGTCTCAGTCGTATTACTGCACAATAAATAAATAAATTTTCTCCATATATCTCGCTTTCGTTGAATAATTGGCGTGGCCCCCTTTGCCCTTAGTCTCAAACCTTTTTCTCTTTTTCTTTTTGAGTGAACAGAGTCTCAAACTTTAGAGAGAGAGAGATCACCTGGATCATGCCAAAAGAAGAGATAATGGACAACTTTTAAACTGTAGTTTCACAGAGAGAGAGAGAGAGAGAGAGAGAGAAGAACATGTAATCATGATATACATGATTGGTTGACTCATTTTTTGACAGCTGAAAAGTTTTGAGGTTAGTGTAATCTAATCTAACATGGTCCTGATGAGTTGAGTTTGATTCTTATTCTCCAGATACTAGAGTCAGCGGAAAACAAAATGGGTGACATTATTGTGGATGTGGAATAGCAGCCTGCTCTAGCTAGATACTGCTGAAAGAAGCTTCTGAATCACTGTGAGAATGTGATGCAGTCGTAGTACGATATGAGTAAAGAGTGGGAAATGTGACTTCATTGTAGCAAGCAAGCAATTGCAAGGTAGGCATTATAATTTATGTATATCAGTCAGACTTATCTACTATACTATACTATACTATGTCTATGTGTATACATACATATATAAATGATTTGATGAAATGTGTATCCACCACCTAACCTAAAACATTACCTGTTCCTAATTTCTAAAATAATATAATTCATGACCCTCAATTAATTAGTTTTTGTAATGCCTTCTGGAGAGTGGTGCCACTGGTGCCTACCCTACCCTGTGTGGGTTGGGTGTCTGCATTGCATTGCAGGCATCTTCTCATCTGAGGATTTTCCATCATATCATATATGTAGCTTTGTCCACCCAAAAAACAAATACCAACACCTCATAATCACAGCATAGTATAGCAGTACACATGTAATCTAGAAATAAGATTATAAAAATTCCCTATATATATACTTATCCAGACAAATGGACTTAAATTAATCATTAGCATTGCATTAGGCTTGTGGGATACGGTAGAACTAGATAGAGAGGGAGACTAAAAGGAGCAGGCAAACAAACAAACAAACTCATGTCGGCGTCCACGTTGAATTTTGTAAAGTTTGTAGCAAGTGCCATATAATATCTATCTATCATCATCCTGTGGACTACTTTTACATTTTTTCTGCCGTAGTTAGAAAGGAAGAGGGAAGTTTTCTCATACACGCAAAATGTTAGGGAGTTTCGAACTTAATACCACTAATCTACAAGTCAACAAATTATTTTTACATTATACATGCATAATTAATGTTAATGTTAGTTCTATCCGTAGACACCTAACTGTTTTCTCAACTTATTTATTTATTATTGTTATTTTTACATTATGCACAGATCACATCGCAGTTGTGTATTGGTTATAAATAAATAAGATTTAAAATGTGTCAACAAAACGAAATAGTGAAGTATTTCCACATGTGTTATGTGGCAATACTTCAAACACAGTGCTAACGAACCCCCGACTTTTCACTCCATGTTTTCTTTCTCTACATTTTTTTTTTTACTTCAAACCATATGTTTAACTTATTATTTAACCCCAAACAAAAAATCATTGACATAAGAAGACATTCTTTTATCCTAGTACGAATTTTAATCGAAATTGGCAACGAGCTGCATCACAAGGATGATACATTTGATTAGACCTTGGTTTGATTTTAATGATTATAAGTTGTGGAAGAATTATTCCATCCCGCGAGCCTTCCTTCACTAAGAAAGTTATAAAAAAAGGACAACTACTGCTCATTAATTGAAAATTGTTACCATTTAACTAGAAAATATGAAAAAGGCAAAGGAAGATGCATAAAGAACTGTTTTACTTTACCGCTCATTATTTTCAAAGCACAATAAAAGTAGCTTTTTTAAAAAGTGACAGCAATTCAGCCTAAAAGAAACAAGTGCTTCCCTGATTTTATTTGTGTAAACCTTATTTACGAGAAAGCAATGACATATTGTTCCAGTTTTGCTTCTTTCCAGACCAAATCCAGTTTGGCTCTTGTGTTTCTTTTCGACCAGAAGGCCCCACATGTAACCAACTAGAGTAAAAGTGGGCAAAGAGAAGAGAATCCATCAAATCGATAGTTGCTTCTAGTTGGAGTCACACAATCAAACAAAACTAATACTTTCGAATATAAAGAAAAAATGGAAACCACAGAAAGGACTTTTTGCTCTTGAAAAAGTTGAAAGGATCAGATTTTCAAATTTTCAAGCGCCAGCAATTAAGGGTAGAAAAAACTCGGTTTCCATAAGAAAAAAAAAAAACTGGGGTCACAGTTACATATAGCTTTGGGTGAAGGAAAGCAAGGACACGGCACGGTCTTACTGTTTCAAGTTTCAACAGAACAGACTAAAATTATAATATAATTTATTTGTCCACATAACATTGATTTTTCATCAATTAAAATAAAATATTACAGAAAAGTAGAGGAGCTGGCCAACATCTCCACTTCACCAGCAAGCTGCCCGAGAGACCCCTTTCCAAGCTCTGTATTTGTTGCATATAAATAAGGCCCACTCGCATGCTCTGTCTGTCTCTGAAAGCAGAGAAGAGATAGAGAGAGAAGCATGAAGAAGAATCAGATGGTGCACGTGTCATTGTTCTTAGCGCATGTGCTTCTTCTGATCAGTCTTCATGGTGCCTCTGGGAAAGATTATATCTCTGCTGTGGGAGACCCAGGAATGAGAAGAGATGAACTGAGAGTGGCCTTGGAAGCTTGGAACTTCTGCAATGAAGTTGGAGCTGAAGCACCTGGCATGGGCAGCCCAAGAGCTGCTGATTGCTTTAATCTCACAAGTAAGCCCCACCATCAAAGAACTAGGGGATTGAGGAGGAAGAGTGGGTTTTTTTTTTCTTTTTTCTTTTTAGTTCTCATATCAAATGATTTTATTATCATTAATTTGTTTTTGGGTGGAAGAATCTTTATTTTTTCTTCCTTTTTTTTAAAAAATTTTAAAAAAAATCATGTGCATGGGCATTCAGTTTGATAGCATACAATGTATTTGATAGATGTTCCAAATTCATCTCAATGCACTTCATAGTTGTGTTTGTCATTGGATTGAAGTAGTTATGTGCTGATTTGATTCTTAATTTGTTTTGAATTTGATGGGGCAGGTTCTTCTATAAGACATGGAGTGAGCGAAGATGATAACAAACTCGGGGTGGGCACACCATTCCCAGGGATTAGCCATGGGGCTTTGAACAATGTAGACCTTTATGCAGCAGAGAAGGAGGTGTATCTGGGTTCTTTATGTCAAGTTTCAGACTCTCCAAAACCATGGCAATTTTGGATGGTTATGCTGAAAAATGGCAACTTTGACACAAGGTCTGGTTTGTGCCCTGCAAATGGGAAAAAGGCAGCTCCTTTCAGTCCGGGAAAGTTTCCTTGCTTTGGGAGTGGGTGTATGAATCAACCCATTGTGAATCACCAAGAGACAGAGTTGTTGGATGGTGATACAATGAGAGGAAGTTTCAGTGGGTCCTATGATCTGGGATCTGATCTCAGTAATGGAAATGGTGGAGCTGATGGGATATCTTTCTATGAGGTGGTTTGGCAGAAGAAACTTGGTGTTGGAAGTTGGGTTTTCAGTCATAAGCTCAAGACTTCAAAGAAATATCCATGGCTGATGCTGTACCTCAGAGCTGATGCAACCCAAGGATATTCTGGAGGCTATCACTATGATACAAGAGGAATGCTCAAAACAGTAAGTAGAAACCATTCATTTGAATTTAATTTCTAAGTAGAAACGTTTCATTTGAACTGGAATCTAATTTCCTTCCTTTTGTCAAGTAACAAGCAATCATTATTATATTGAGAAGCTGAAGCTAGAATGATGGAATTTTTCTCTTGTTTTAGTTGCTGCTGTATGATGTATGCCAACATATGTAACTTCTAAGAAGAATACAGAAAAATTAGTCTTATTGTTTGTCTTCATGACAAAATATAAATGTAAGATGGTGTATGCTTTCCATCTTTCATGTGATTAATACGTTAACAAAGTAACAAAAGAAGGCCATAACTGGACGGCTGATTTGCTTAATTTGTTAAACTAACTGCATTTCCAGAGGTATTAATTTATTCGTTGGGGGATTTCATGAATAATTAATCTGTTAATCTGTCACTGTCGTTTTTTGTATGAATAAATTTATTATTCAATGTTGTTAGATAACAGTCATACCAAACCCTCCCTGTCAAAGGTGTTAGAAAACTTTGCATTCTAAGACCTTATTTAATTGGTACTGGGATTATTAGACCGGCCCTGGAATATGATCATCTAGTGAAGGCCACAAGGCCACCGAATCAACACGATTGTGTCATATTATAATCATCTGTGTTTGAAGTTGGACCTCAGAATACCAGATTTGACATCTGCCAGAGTTTGTTGCTTTTGTTTTCTAATATATTTGCTTCTAAATTGTTCGAGTATAGAAGGATGATATAGTCATTTATCACATAACTTACAATTTAAGTTAAATTTCAGCTTCCAGAGTCACCAAATTTTAAGGTGAGGTTGACTTTGGACATCAAACAAGGAGGAGGACCCAAGAGCCAGTTTTACCTTATTGATATTGGTAGCTGTTGGAAGAACAACGGCCAACCCTGTAACGGGGATGTGCTGACCGACGTAACCAGATACACGGAGATGATCATAAACCCGGAAACTCCAGCTTGGTGCAGCCCCACAGGTTTGGGGAATTGCCCACCATACCATATTACACCAGATGACAGAAAGATTTATAGAAATGACACAGCCAACTTCCCATACTCAGCTTATCACTACTACTGTGCTCCAGGGAATGCCCAACATTTGGAGCAACCTGTAAGCACATGTGACCCTTACAGCAATCCTCAGGCACAAGAGATAATGCAATTGCTGCCTCACCCCATATGGGCTGAATATGGCTATCCAACCAAACAAGGGCAGGGTTGGGTTGGAGATGCAAGAACTTGGGAGCTTGATGTTGGTGCCCTATCCAGTAGACTCTACTTCTATCAGGTAACTAATTAGTTACAGAAAAACTGCAAATTAAACTGCTTATGCAATGCAACCAATAACTTTATGTGATTGTTTTTCATTTTCTGTTTGTGGTTGTTGTAGGATCCAGGCACCACTCCTGCAAGAAGGATATGGGGATCAGTAGATGTGGGTACAGAAATTTTTGTTAGTGACAAAGATGAAGTGGCAGAGTGGACTCTCAGTGACTTCGACGTAATTTTTACACCCAAGAAGTAATTCATAATTCCACATCCATAGCAGCATTTTTTCTCAAACTTTTTTCATCTTTTTAATTGTTTTTTTCTCCAAATATATAGATCTAGTCTTCTAGAGTTTTAGACCAAATGGAAAGAAATGTGTTAGTTTCATAAGGGTGACGAGACTAGGAAGAAACCGGAGCAAGCAAATCCCGTAAGGGTAGCTTTAAAGCTTCAACTTCTTTTTTTTTTTTTTGGTCAAGAAAGCTTCAACTTCAAGTCATTGTGAAAAGCCAATTCTCAATGTCATAAGGAGATCAAATCAAATCTGTCGCCAAATACAAGTGGTATTTTCTTAGTGTGAAACCCAATAAACTTGTGAAATTGCCTTCTTTGATTGTCTCTGATAAGAAATGAACTCTTGTGTTCTTAATATTTCTCTGTCGTTGAAATGGAAGATTTTCTAAGTTCGAATCATTAATATATATATTTTTTTAAAAGAAAAAAATTGTCTGATAAGATTTGATAAGCAAAATGTGATCCGAATTACTGCAACACGTGACATAGCCATATATAAGTTGGTTTAAGTGGGCATCAGTTGTAAAAGCAAATTGCAAAGGGTTCATCTCTGAGGTTGTCTTCTCCATTTGAAGCAAGAATCAGAATCACCCACCAAACTGCTTTCTGACAAACCAACCAATACAATACCATCCACCCGTTGACAAAAGTGATCCAATTGTTTCTTTGGTACCAATCCAATCGCATTGGTTTGGTACTAACGATACCTACATCGCACTAGGTACTTTAGGGCATCTCCAATCATGGGCGACCGGCCAAATATAGCCCTAAAATAATGCAAAACTCATCTCCAGCCATGGGAAATTTGGAGGGCCACATTCGGCCCTTTCGCCCTCCAATCAGGCCAATTATAGCCCAGTTTTGGCCAAAGTCAAATTTTTTTGTGAGCCCCATGCATGTGCTTTTCAAGAAGAGAAATTATCAAGTGTGGGCCAAAGCACAAAACATCTCGTGCAAATGCATATAGTACAGCTAATATTAAAGGTGTGCTGACGTCAGCTAGCCGTTAGGATAATTTTTTTTAAAAAAAATAGCATTTTTAAATGTTATCAATGTATACGTGTCATATATGGAATATTGTCTCTAAATAGTAGTTTAATGAAATTAAACAATATATAGTTATGAAATGTATGAGTGTTATACTATAATTTTTCTCAAAATAATAAAATATGAAGGACCCTAAAATATAGTCATGTATGGCTAGAGATGAAAAAATTTAGCCTTACACTATTCTTTAAAAATTAATATTTTGGAAGGCTAAATTTATAGCCCTAAACTACATTTAGTCCAGTAGAGATGGCCTTACTTGTCCGAGTTGGAGTTATCTCTCTATTTTCATTTTTCAAAATAGAATAGAATGGGCCTACTACTACCCATGTGGTGTGGTGTGGTGTGGGCAAACCTAACCTCATTTTCATGTCAAAACAAGACTTTTGAGTCACTCACGGGCTCTGACTGCATCCCGTCATGCATCATCACCATTCACGAGAGACACCAAAGTTGAAGTACGTGTCTTCCTAAACTCACTTTCACTCACGCGCTCGACACGTATTTTTTTTCCTTCACACAAACTATACTTCAAATCTAATTTACGGAGGAGAGGAAGATTTAATTTAAGGTTTATTTGGGATGGGCGTGATTTTGAACAAGGATCTTAGCTCTATTACTAATTGACTATAGTCTATACAGTATATCAATTACATAATTAGTCTACCAAAATTCATATTGAATCATCAATTAATTTTATGAAAATCAATATCACTTAATCTAATCAAAATGCATATCAAAGTATCAATTCAATAAACAAATCAAAATGCATACCTCAAGTTGTGTGTTGCGTAGCCTCTTCGAGTTTGCTACTGATTAAACTAATATATAGAGAGCCAAATCAGCCAAAAAAAAGAAAAAAGAAAAAAGAAAAGAACAAAAAAACTGAAGATTAAAAAAAACATAGAAAAAAACAAAACCATAAGAAAATATTTTTTTTATTTATTTAAAAAGAAGCAAAGTGGTGTGAGTTCACCTTGTGGTTCTACATCAAGCAAAAAGAAATCTTCCAGTTTCAAGAAAAGCAATTCAACTCAAGGATAAATCCTCTCTGTCGCTGAACTTTGAATGCTATTGTATTCATACATGGATTAATTTGATTGTAGGTTTTGTGGCGTGGCATGGAGTAAAGACTAGGCTTCTCATTGTTTTTTAATTTTTTTTAAGACCTGGTCCAAAACAACGTTATTTTGGCCCGGTATAAAACGACGTCGTTTTGGCCAGGTGTTTTTTAATTAAAAAAAAATTAACTCTTCCACCACCTTGACTTTTTCTGGCAAAGGAAGGTGCAACTGCACACCCTTGCACCTCTGTAAATCCGCCACTGTCCATAAGTATAAGAGGGTGGCCTATGTTCTGGTAGAGGGTAACCTTGAAGACCATTGGTCACAAAAAACCCCCAAGGACGGAAGACGATAATTTCCCGAAACTCAAAGACCATTTGCGATGAAAAGTCTAAAACTAATGAACATTCTAATTGATTAAAAAAGACCCCATCCCAGTCGCCATACCACCTCCCCCAACAACTCAAAAACCATTTGTGATGAAAAGTCTAAAACTAATGAACATTCTAATTGATTAAAAAAGACCCCATCCCAGTCGCCATACAACCTCCCCCAAAACAATAGCCCCCATACCCTCCCTACCGAAATCCAAATCATCATCATCCCTGTCCAATCTTTCCTCACCAAAAACTCACCACCCTCTGCCACCCACAATCCAACCCTCCAATATTGATTTGTATGTTTTTATTTAGTCTATTTTTCTGGATTTATTTTCTCATTAATTTTTGCCTAACCCATTTTATCTTGGTTGATTTTTGGTGCATTTCAGGTTAGTTTACCCTTAACTCTCAAAATTTATAAGCTAAAACCCTAAACCCTTTTGATAAAAGAAAAATCCTAAACCCTAATAATTCAGCGAACAAAAAAAGGTCATCTGTAGCCCAACAAAAATAAAGCCCACCCGAGCAGAAATTTAGCCCACCACACCATTGTCTCTAACCAGCAGCAGCAGCTCTCAATCCCAACCCTCCCCTTACAGTGACGCCCTTTTTCACACCTAATATTAAAACGAAGCTCTCCTCCGCTCCACCTTTCTCCCAAACATTCTCAATCTTCACTTGCTTCTCAAACGTTTTCAGTCATTCTTTTTCTATAGTTCCAAACTTCTGTTCATTCATCCATACATAAACGCCAAACCTAGTCGGCTATTTGGTAAGTTTCTTGATGGAATGTTTCTTTTTTCTGCAAACTTTTTGGGTATTTAGTTGAGAGTTAAATCATTCATGTCAGTCTATGGAGGTGGAAGAGTTGTAGAGAACTCTCTACATGCCTGCCTATTTGGATTTTTTCGTTTCCATTAGGGTTTAACAACCAATCCATAAACCCTGACTGACTACCTCTGTTTTTCTCTGTATGTTCAACTTTAGAGCGTAAGCTTGGACTCCAATGGCAGCTTTCGACCATATCAAGGACTTGTACGATGTTGCTCTAAAGCCTCGTCTGTTGCACACGCTTATTAGAGACCATGTCCCCGACACTAAGCACCCTTTTGGGAGCCCATTCGAGCTGTCCAAGGTAGTGTACATGATCAATACTCACAACCTCCTTCGCGAGTCTGTACAAGATTTGACTGATCAAAAGCTAATCAATAATTGGAGGTCCGCCATTGATTCCTGGGTCAACCACTTGATGGAGCTCATCGCCAGTGACATTGTATGTACCAATTAATTTTTTGACAAATTCCAATTATTTAACGTTACTTGTTTTACTTTTTTTGTTTGTTGATAAATTTTATTTTCTTGAGTTTATTGAAACATGTGTTTAGTACTTTAGGAAAGTCCATGTATTCAGTTTGAATGGTAAATTTGCAGTTTTAGCTGTCAATGGTGGGGTTGCCAAGTCTTTCCTCTCTCTAATATTCAAGTGACCGGCATGAAGTTAAGAGTTGGGTCTTTTGAACCTAGGGGTCTCTTTGAGGAGGTTATATGAAAAGAAAAAGGTTTGACTTGATGAATAAGTATATGATGTTGATAAATTATTTGAGGCGTGAGAGAACCTACAGGACCTTCTTAAGAAAGAAAAGCCAAAATTGGAACCACAGAATTGCATATCTTTCTTAAAAAAATTGTTTGGTGAACTTGATTGCAGAGGCAAGATGGAAGTAATAAATTTTTTAGTGTTCACATGTAAGATTTCAGTGGTGATTTTAGATACAAGATTTAGTGCCACTTGAGGAAGTCAAACAGTAAAATTGTTCTAGGATGAGTCATCTTTTATAATTGACAGTCATAACCTGAGGTGTAATTACTAGTTTTACTTTTACACCATGTTAGGGCGAGGGAAAAGAAGACACTATCTATTTTATTTCTACTAAGAGTTTGCTTTGTCTTCCTTGTGAATTCATTTGATCATATACTTCTGTTCTAGCCAGATAAATGTTGGGCTGGAATTTGCTTGCTGGGGGTGACTTGTCAGGAATGCAGCTATGAGCGTTTCTTGGAATCATACTCTGGTTGGTTCCAGAAGCTTCTGTCACATATTCAGGTATCCAAATGACTGTTTGTTCAAATAATAATCATTATGTTATGGTTAAACTATTGCTTCTTAAAAGAATAATAAAAGTATAAGATACAACTCTAAAATCACTGCCCTTGCCAATTGTGGTTTTGATTCACAAGCAAATACGATATCCAATATTTTAGATCTATTAGCCTTGCTATATATGTTATTGATCCTCACATGATGCTTTCAGCAACTGTAAGATATTACAAAGATTACTTATCAAAATCAGATGTAACCTTTGTTTTTAGCTCCTACTATCAGTTACTGTGATATCTCCTTTGACCTGAATCTGTGTATATCAGGTTACAAGGAAAATTGTGCTGCATTTGTATTAATGATATGGTTTTGTTGATCAATATGACCTTAGTGCCGCATATGCACACCTCTTTGCAGCCATGCCTGATAAACAAATTACTCTCATGTTCATCAATCAATATCTAAGAATTCACAGGACTACTGATGTAGTAAGACCCATGGCCTACAATTTTGGCTCATCTCCAACAATTATAGAAACTACAGATATTCCTTTTACTTAATAAATGATAAAGATAAAGAGAAGCCAGATATAAATTAAATAAACCGCAATATCCTAATGATCTTCGGTGAACCCTTATGATTGAGCTCTAGAATTGAATCTCATTATATTTAGTTGTGATAATACCATATGTTATATTTGATGTTTTGAGAATTCTCCCTAAGCA